AAAAAGCTGAATTTTTCGTTAAATACTACGTCTACTATTTACCATCTTTCGTGTTGTTTAAAAAATACCTATACGCACTCCAAATTTTTTTATATATTTTCTAAACTTATCTTTATGGTACATGTGAATCATTTTAAAATTTCCAGTGATTAATTTATTTAACATTCAAATACTACTTAATATGTGGATCAACCCCAATAAAAATCTTATTTTCTAGAGAAACGAAAACATTTAAGGTCTCAAACCTATTTAATATTCATACTATGTAGGTGTATGATGCAGCTATGCATTAAAACAAAAATTCCATTTTTTATAATTTTTCATGAAATATGTGGGTTAACCCCTATGAAAAAGCTGAATTTTCCGTTAAATACTATATCTACTATTTACCATCTTTCCTGTTGTTTATAAAATACTTAAACCCACTCCCAATTTTTATATATGTTTGCTAAACTTATGTTTATGGTACATGCGAATCATTTCAAATTTCCCAATGATTAATTTATTTAACATTGATATACCACTTAATATTTAACAAGTAATGAAATAATCTGGCGTGAATGTCAATGATTCTCTTGGTTTTTGTGAATCTTTAGGCTGCTGGCGCTTGGAGGTATAATAGGTTCATGGAGGGTATCTAACAGATTGTTATGGCTGCATGGGTTTTGGGATTCTGGCGTTGCTTCGTGGTCTGGTTTCTCATTCAGCCAAAAGATCCCCCTGTTTTGGCCAGGAGAAAGCTTGCTTGAGTGTGACCTTTATCTCTTCAAGCTTTTGTTCAGCAACAGTTAATGTTAGTGTTTCCCTGGTTGGAATCAAATTCATGCTAGCAACTTCTGCTATCTTCTAATTGTATGTTTGGTTCCATCTAACTAGAAAGACAGAAAGAAGAAACACAAAAACAAAGTTAAAAGCAAGTATGTTGCAGGCGTAACGACACAAAAACTGTCAATTTTTTTTACTGAAACTATCTAATGGGTGTTTGTTGTCAAGTAGTCTCACAATACATAGAAGCTTTGATCCTCTAAACAGTGGAAGATATAAAATTGTTCACAGGTACAACATAAGCCAAGAAACAACTAATAAGCCGTGGGAACCAAGTCAACCAGAATTTGAAAAGCAACATTTTCCCTCCATTAAATTAGTCAAGGCGTCATGAGAAAAACAAGGACTCTTTCTTCTTCTTATTATATCTTCAACCATATAAATAAAAGGTTCAAACCAAGTTATTGTGGTTTTTACATTGTTTGAGATACGAGTTTGGCTCGGTCTTTTATTCAGATTCAGTTTCTAAAGAAAATATATTTTAGTTATCCATTTTTAGATAAGCTGATTTCTATTACTTATTAATTTGAAACTCAAAGAGAAGCAAAATTTAAAGACAAATCAACATTTTCATTCAAACAATACTCAGTAGATAACATTCAAGAAAGGAAGAAATACATTATTACACATTTTGAAATTCAAACACAAAGAACTTCCTTGGGAAAAGGACTTGATGAAGAAAATAAAGAACATAATAAGCAGAAAACATCTTACAACTTCAATCATTGGTCCAAAGTTAGTTAACGAAAGCACATCTCCTCCTGATCTCACCTTGCTTCCCTGTAAGAATCTCGACGAAACCAAGTTTGACCATTGAGTCAGAGAAATCTCTAGCGAAGGAAGCCCCACGGGTCAAGACCTGGGCCTGAATGTAGAGGTTGGTTTCTAGGTCATCAAGAAGTGTTGCATCAGATGTGAACAAACCCTTCTTCTGAGCCACAATGTTGAAGTAGTGAGAGTCAAACTTTTTAGCACTGCCTGGGTCCATATCCACTGGGGTCCTGGGAGTAGTTGGCTTGCATCTTTTCTTCAATGCCCTAACGTAGCTAGGGTTCATCGCTGGGTCAAAGTCGCCTCTGCCCGTGAAGTTATGGATACGGTTGTTGATGAGACCGCAAGAAGATATACCAATGGTGTGAGCTCCTGTTCAATAAATAATGCTAGTCAGTTTGATATCTAAATTAAATTTCAAGCGGGAAAATATTCAAAATAACATTTTAAAGTTTATTTTAAATTACCACTGAATAATAAAAATTCTCTAAATAGCATTTTATGTTAGCAATTAAATCCCAGTCATATCTCTACTTACTAAATACTAAACTTTAATCATTAAACCCAAACATGATAATAAAATAAAATGTTTTTAATATTTTAATTGGTACTATTTAATAGATTTTGTACTTTGTGTAATGTTTTTTGAAACTATTAGAGGGTATTTTCTTAAGATGTTGTGTATATACCTGAGAGGACGACTAGGTCTTTAGTGTTAAGACCCTTGTCCACGAAGTTCTTCTTCAGTGTCTTTACGTCGGCAAAAGGAGATGGCAAATTAACCTCGGAAAGCTTCGAGATGCGTCCATCCCTCCTCCCCAATGGAACAGGCCACCATGGTCCTCCGATCTAAAAAAACAAACCAATCAATGAACAAAATAAGTTTAGTACGTACAATAAACATTAATGGTTTTGCAATGAGAAAACCAGTAGAGTGCAAAATGTTACCACTGCAACAGCGTCTCTAGCGACCAAGGCAAGAATATCAGCGCAAGAGACAACACCACGACAACCCCAAATCCTCTCGAGAGATGACTTGGCAGCATCGACCACTTCGTAGCCTCTCACTGACAAATTGGGGATAGCGTTTCTTTCCGCATCGTTGAATGGTGATTTCAAAAGAATGGAACCATCACATCCCTAATATGTACATGAATATTCCACACGTGAATTATGAAGGAGCAAACATTAGTATATAAATGACATTAGTTCTCACGTAAAACATAAACTCATGCACAAATTATTAACTTACTCTGACGAAGCAGTCATGAAAGTACATCCTTAGAAGCGCAGCAGCAAGAGTTGGCCTGCGAGAGACGTATTGAAATGTGACACGGCGAACAACGGATTCCAGCTGTGGACAGGTGGAGCGGTAGTAGTCAAGGTCAAGATTACCACCAGCCCGTGGGTTCCTATGTCCATTTTGGTTCCTAAGTGGGTTCTCATATGGCTTTGCAATGGAAACTCCAACAACGCCAAGAAGAACCACAAGGGCAAGTAAGTTCTTGAGCGCCATTGTTGTCTCTCTTCTTTGTATGAGTATTTAAGCCAAGTTTAGGGATGAAGAATAGTTACAGGGTTTAAGGCTTTTTATAGATAACTGGAGGGAGTTTTGAATAGTTCCATTGCTAAATGTCAACATAAAATTAGATAATACCATTTGCAAATATTAATGTGTTTGTTGATAGAGTTTGATGAACATTGCAAGCCTCCACGATCTTTCTGATTCTTGTTTGATGCTTAAATATTCAATTCTCAAGGAATATGTAAACTCAAAATTTTGAAATGATCATTAACTTTTTTGCCTTCTATTTTGCTCTACGGAAAGTCTTATGGACTTTTTAGAAAGCAAACTCTGGTTTACATTCCAAGTAAAATAGTATTCTCAAACCAATGCTCTGTTGTTAACCAAACAAAAATATTATACTAACTGCAATTTGTAAGAAAATAAACATAATAATAACAAGTTTGTCATGTTTGTTGTTACACACGTTCTTGTTCGTCGCCTGCATCATCTTTATTTCTTCTCTTCCATCACTTTCTCAAACTCTATCGTTTCCATCCAGCCTCCTCAACCTTTAATTTGTCAAAAATCAATCAATAATTACCAAAATTGGAACTCCCCAATTTTTAAAAAAGCATCTAGAACCTTGCGGAAATAGCCCTAAAGGAATATAATCGAAATCTGCATTCTTGTTTAAATAAAAAAAATATGTACACAAAAAAAAAAATGAAAAGCAAAGAGAAAAAAAAACCCAAGCATATAAAATCATTTTAAAATCTGTTTGATGATCATACATTTTAATTTAGCTAATATTCCGTTGGAAGAAAATATGTTATACAAGAAATTAAAAATCGTGGTTGAAACTAAAAAAAGTTCAATTTATTTAGGATTGAACAGTCCAGTCACCACCAGATTAACACTGACATCATATGCTGTCTCCTCGAGGGGACATGCTTTTATTATCATTTCATAAGTATAGAATTGATTCTGTGTTTTTGGGTTTATAGTCTTTATGTCGTTACATGTCTGACAAGAAGTGCATACAGTCTTAATCCATATTATGAGTTTAAAGCTGTGTTAAAAAAAAAACCTCTGCTTGATTTTCTAAAATAATATAACGCTGACAGTTTATTATTGTTTTTTTTTTTCAACTTTGAGAGCTCTGATTTGATTCAAATTCAGTTTCTAAGGAAAACATATTATAATTATCCATTTTAGGATAGCTTGTTACTACTACTTATTTATATGAATCTCAAAGAGAAGCATTAGAGAGAAAAACATTTTCATTCAAACAAGGACTGTTAGTCGGTAGATAACATTCGTTACATTTTATTATTGAAATTCAAATAATAAGAACTTCCGTGGATAAAAGTACTTGATGAAGGAAAAAAAACGTTTTAGAAGTTCAATCATCAGTTAACGAAAGCGCAATGCCTCCTGATTTCCCCCTTCCTCCCAGTAAGAATCTGGATGAAACCAAGTTTGACCATTGAGTCAGAGAAATCTTTTGCGAAGGAAGCCCCATGAGTCCCAACCTGCGTCTGAATGTAGCGCTTTGTGACAAAGTCATTGAGAAGTGCTGAATCAGATATGAACAAACCCTTCTTCTGAGCCACAATGTCGAAGTAGTGAGAGTCAAACCTCCTGGCACTGCCTGGGTCCATATCCACTGGGGTCCTGACATCAGTTGGCTTGCACCTTTTCTTCAATGCCCTAACGTAGCTAGGATTCATCGCTGGGTCAAAATCGCCTCTTCCCGTAAAGTTATGGATACGGCTGCTGATCAGACCGCAAGAAGATACACCAATGGTGTGTGCCCCTGAGAGGACGACTAGGTCTTTACTGTTAAGACCCTTGACACGGAAGTTATTCTTCAGTGTCTTTATGTCGGCAAAAGGAGATGGTAAGTTAGCCTCGGAAAGTCTTGAGATACGTCCGTCCCTACGCCCCAGTGGAACAGGCCACCATGGTCCTCTTATCTAAGAAAAATAAAGAAACCAGTCAATGAGTAAAACAAGTTTAGTACATGCAATAAATATTAATGCATGGTTTTTGCATGAGAAAATGATTTAGAGTGCAAAATGTTACCACTGCAACAGCGTCTCTAGCGACCAAGGCAAGAACATCAGCACAAGAAACAACACCAGGACACTTCCTCTCGAGGGCTGACTTGGCAGCATCCACCACTTCGTAGCCTCTCAATGTCAAGTTAGGTGGAGCGTCTCTCTCCGCATCATTGTTTGGTGATTTCAATAGAACGGAACCATCACATCCCTAATTTAATGAATTATATGAACACACACACAAAAAAAGTTAGCGTGGAATTATGAAGAGACAAACAATACTACATTAAAGACATGCATGAGGCTCTCCACTCATGGCTTATTACTAAAACATAAAAATTCAAGCAAAACTATTAACTTACTCTGACAAAGCAGTCGTGAAAATGCATCCTAAGAAGCGCAGCAGCAAGAGTTGGCCTGCGAGAGACGTACTGGAAAGTGACACGGCGGACAATGGCTTCCACTTGTGGACACCTGAAGCGGTAGTAGTCGAGGTCAAGATCACCCTTCATACGTGGGTTCCCAAGTGGGTTCCCATATGGCTTCGCAACTGAAACTCCAACAACACCAAGAAGAACTACAAGGGCAAGTAAGTTCTTGAGTGCCATTGTTGTCTGTCTTCTTTGTTGTGTATTAAGCCAAGTTTAAGGATGAAGAAAATGGAAAAAGTCTCAGGCTTTTTATAGATCATTAATTGGAGGAGGATTTTGAAAAGTTCCATTGTCAACATAGGAATTAGATATCATAATACCCATTTGCAGTTATTTATATGTTTCATATACGAAAAAAAATACTATGTTTCTCGATAGAATTTGAAGAACATTGCATGCCTCCACGATCTTTCTGATTCTCGTTTGATGCTTAATTAAATTATGAGGAGTATATAAAAACTCAAAAGTTTTGAACATGATCATTAACGTTTCTGCCGTCACTTTTGCTCTATGGACCATGGTAGGCCTAAGCCATTGACTTTTTAGAAAGCAAACTTGGCTTTTCATTCCAAGTAAATAGTATTATCAAACCTATCCTCGATCTTCAACCTCAAAAATAGCTATTTTATTAAAATTAAAATACATATTAAAAACTAGTTTGAATGTGTGTTACACACGTTCATTTTCTTCGCCGGCGTCATCTTTTTTTTTTTCTTTTCTTGCATGATTTTCTTAAACCCTATCGTCATTTACTTACTGAACGTACTACAAAAGTTGATCTCTCAGCTAAACGATCATTCTGAAAGTCATTTGCTCGGTCCTGAATAATATTACTGAATACTGATGCAAATACTACTTATAATCATGCACAACTATGTTCGAATGTTGTGTGATACATACAAAACAAATGTATTTGTTATATGTATTTCTATCAGGGGATAATGTAGCACAACCGCCTATTTATAGATAATAGATTGATAAATTGATACACAACTAACACCAACATGAGCCATTTAAAAGTTAAATGACGTATCTGCATACTCATTTAATCCAAAAAAAAAAAAAGTTTTGATGTTTAGTCAACTCATATATAATACTGGCACAAAAGGGATGGTCAAAGGCCAAGATCTTTGTTATTTACATAATCTGCAAAATCAGTTACAGAATTAACAAAAATGCCTAACTTTCTTTGGTATTTACGAAAGTGCCAAATATCTTTCTGTATTTACCAAATTTCACCAAACTTTTGATATTGATAGAAAAATGTGCATTTTCTATTTGAGAAGATACCAGTGTTTACTGACTTTGAAATATAAACTGGCGATAGTAATCTGACGATATTTTAATCCCCTCGTCGGTTTATATATGATAAAATTCTACAGAGCAGTTGTGTGAACTGTGAAGTTCTAATCTGCTCTCCACTTCACCTTATAAGTACAATGTTTCTAAGTTGATTCGCATGTTACAAAGTAAGACAAGCTCAAGAGATGACTCAGATGAGCAACAACAGTTTTGGACAAAACAAAAAAAAACAATATAAATAAGAAGGGACGGCCTCAAGATCCAAGGAGCCACAAAACGTTTGATCTTAGTTATTACCAGCTCCTTCTGTTTCAATCAGACTCTGCTCTCAAAAAATCCCACAACACTCTCAAACATAAACAAGATTTTGAAGAGTTCGGTCGAGAGTGTCTTGTCTGAGTTTGCCAAGTCCATGGAGAAAATGGGTCGGATCAATGTGAAGACTTGTTCAGCAAGAGTGGGGTCAGAAGAACAATGTGACGTTGCAAAAAGACTTGTTATCATGAAAAGTTTCAATCAACCGACATACAAAAGTAAAAGAAAAATAAAGAAAGCATAAGGACTGTATAACGTTGTTGCGTTTGTGTGGTTTTCTTTTGAATGGCTCTCAGGAGAAATGAAGAGAAAAAACTATGCCCACATCACAATCGTTTTCACCTTCTTCTTGCAAGAAGTATACCGGTAACTATAGCTGTCCCTGTAACTGCAATCGCCACTGATGATATTATCCTCTTCACTGTGAAGACTGACTCGTCGCTCGGTATCTCCATTAGATCTTTCATCTGCACAGTACCATGGAAAAAAAAAAACAGAAATAAGCTCCTTAATTCAGAGATTGATGAGGACAAGTTTCACAACAACAAACCGTTATAGGTTGCTGCCAATTCTTCTTGATCCCATTAATATGCCCTCTGCCGATTACTGCCACAACTGAATTGTGCTCACTTGCAACTCTCAGCAAAGAAGATGCCATGTACCTGAGAATTTCATTTTTTGTTGCCACCAACCATCATCAATCTCCTCTATATTTGTTAATACCAACATTACTATTTCAGTTTTCAGATGATGAATCTACAAAGAGAAGGATTAGAGAAGACTAACTGGTCTCGCTCATGCACAAGTGTATCCATGAGAGATGGAAATTCCTTGCTCATTTCTTGAATCACCAAAGTCAGCATATCCACATTGTCCATTTCTTTCAACTGAAGCGACCATAGACAGAGATATCCAAAATCAGGATTACTAGATATGATGAATTGCATTGAATTATATACAAAGCAGTAAGACTTACCATTTTGTCGAGTTCTTCAGCGCTCGGTAAGAAGACAGCTTGGAACAGCAAGGAGTATAGAAACTTAACCTTGTGCCACAGAGGCATCTTTGCCCATGTTCTTTTTAACGTGATCTGCTTCGGTAAAAATATTGAAATCCAAATGAATAATATACAGGAACTATGTTAGAGAATGCAACTCCCTGTTATAAGATGCATAACATTACTAAAAAGAATGCTTTGAAACTGTGGACGAACATATCACCTGTACAGGACGGTCACCAAGAATCACCTTGCCGCCATATTTAAGGGCCTCTTCGTATGCCACACGAAACTCAGCCCCAGGAAGAACCTCAAGCTGACTGGCGATCTAACAGAAGGACAAGACGTAAATTTTTTGGTTCAGAAAGTTATAGCTTCCATAGAAAAAAAAAGATCCTGATTATGTAACTTGCCTTTGCAAGAAACCAGCCATAAAGTATTCCAAACGTGTTCTGTTTCTGCTTCCAGCTTTCTATCATGTCTGACATGGTTGGAATCTAGAGAAGCAAAAACACATTACCATTTCAGAATAAGCAAAAGTGTTAGAAGAGGTATAATCGTGTATAGGTAGATTGATCTCTGATATTATCATCAACAAAGCATAGCATAGCATATACAACAAGTGAACTAAATTCTACACAAAAACTCTTTTCCAGCAGACAACCCAGAGCTCATCATCATTTGTTATCTGATTAACTGAAGGAAGTTTTGCATCTCTCTTAAATGTTGATATAGACATCGACAGCATGAAAGTCTATCATCTTCCACCAAAATAAACAGCAATGCACATTCTTTTACAGAATCTCACACAATGGTAGACGGCCATAAAATGTGAAAACCAAACAGGAAGGAAGAAGCAAACCTTCAAAGTCTGAGGTTTGAGAATAGACACTCGGCTTGAACACAACTCCACGAAGACAGCCTATTAATCATCAGCCACATGCTTAGACCAAAACATTGATAGACACATAAACATATCAAACTTTTAAATTCTCTGTGAACATCTAAAAAAACAAACCTCTGGTTTCAAGATGCTGATTACTGCTTGAACTTCTCGACATGATTCCTATAACAAACAAAATATATTGCTATTACACGATTATCCCATGATGAATGATTAAATGCTAATAAAAACAACAAAGAGCTAAGCTAAAACCCATCCAAAAACCATATCTTTTTTTTACTTTAGCAACTTGCAACAAACTAAGGGTTTCCTTACTTATTCCTAAACCCTATCTCCATGTTCAAAAACTCTTCTTACACAACCAAAAACACGGTCCTAAAATTGACATGCAATTGACATAATTCTCCAAAACTAAAGACAGATCCTTTCCGCAAAAAAAAAACAAACTCAAAAGAGAAGAAAATACCTTTGATACATGAGCAGTCCCAATCAAATACACATCACAAGATCCACTCTCCCCTGTAGACTCACACCTCAAAATCACAACGCTTTTCGCCAATTCCTCCGGCAACTCCACCTTCGTCGCCTCCGATGAACCCTCTCCACCATCCTCCCCATCGCCGCCGGGGCTAATCACGGAATCGGAGTCTTTGTATTCTTCTACCTCCTCAACGGCGTCCTCTCTCTCCACATTCACTATGCTGTCGCTTAACGAGATATCGCCGGTAGGTCTGGTGGAGTCTTCTTCGATGTGAACAAAGTCCTCGCCGGAGGGAACCTCCGGCTCCGTCGACATCTGAATCGATGGCAGATAAGAGAAGGGGCGAAGAGATTTGGGATCAGGCAAAAATGGTTACTAGTAAAGTCGTCTTTAATACCTGAGATTATTATATCTGCTAAGGTAACGCTTAATAGCTTTTTTTTTTTATTATAAGCTCCGTTTCTTTATAATTTAAAACTTGATTAACGCTAGTTTTTATGGGCTAAAGCATTAAAAAGTAGTGGAAGCCCAATATAACATATGTGAAAAGGTGATGGAAGCCCATTATTATCAATTGTGGTAGATAATTAATAATAATGGAATTTTTTTTTTTAAGATTATCGTACAAATAGAACTGTCAAACATTAATTATTATCAAATAATTTAGTATTCAATGGGAATGTACATATAAGAGAATATGATTATTGGTTACAAAACTGTGGATGTAATAGTAAAATAATAAGTGAACATGTTAAAAAAAACTTGAAAAGATTGGATTCTTAACTTGTAATAGACGTAAAACATCAGTCTTACAAAGTTATATATTAGGAGAGAATAATTTGTTAGCCACTCTTTGGATGAATATTCTAACATTTATTTGTCGAAATGTTTTCTTCACTGATTCTTTTCCTACCATTCAGATCTCTTCTCTACCATTCTTTGTAAAGATCTTTACGTTTTTGACCATTAGCCCAAACAAAGATTACGTATATGTTTTACCAAGATATCCAAATCAATATACTTTTAGCAGATTGTGAATAATCAAAAAGTGGTTAACTACCAATCTCAAAAGCTGAAAGGCAACATGCTGAGTAACAGTGTAATAGTATACAAAAATAACTAAAAACTATATGGCCACGACATTTGTTAAATATATCTAAATAGCAAATGTGTGATAAAGAAAAAGAAGGTATTATAGAGTATTAGTTACGTTGGTACTAGGGATGTATATAGATTAACTCATCCTCTTTGCACTCTCGAATTCCAAGTTCCAGTACTTTTCCACCATTGGAAGAAGTTGGTAAAATATCACAACACTGTCTTCTGGGAGCCTTCAACTACCACATCCAGAAAAAAAAGAAGTAATATTGTTACAATAATAAACAAACTATAAATAAATAGAGAATTTCAGCCAAAAAAAAACTATAAATAAATAGAAAATGTAAGATTTTTACGCAGTAACAGTATTTGTTATAGTGTTATTTTAAAACTCCATCACATTTGATGTTTCTTTTTAATATTTTAATGTTTACACTTTTAGAATTCAATATTAGTTTTAAGCCTAAATGTCAAAGTTCACTTAAAATCAATACTGAAATGGATTTTTGAAAGATCTTAGTGTATTTCCAAGCATTTAAATCTTAGAAAAAAAATTCAATTTATCTTGCAGTTCTTGTAAATAATATGTGAAACTCCTAGTTTTGTTGGTACCTAATTTTAGAGTAAAAGGGATAAGTATTTCTAGGGAAAGTTTTAGTAATTGACATTCCAACAAATCACTACTAATCTAGCAACTGATTTTCACAGACGACCAAAACTTCATTACTTATCCTATTATCCACATAAAAACACAATATCTTTCTAATGAAAAACAAGTGCACAAAACTAAGAAATAGTAGATTGACTTACTTGTCTGATATCAGGATCCAACCTTGTTGAATACACTCTAACCTCTTCAATTTTGCGAGGAGATGAAATGGGATCGTACGTGCAATTCTGATAAGCTTGCTTATACACACTTTTAATAGTTCCATCACCGGGAGAAGAAGAAACATTTTGCATGAAGAAAGTGACAGGTCTTTGGCATGGATCAGGATGAACATCTCTTGTGGTGAATGTGTACCCACTACCGTAATTTATCCATGGTCGGAACGTTTTTTGTGTTCTCAAAACATCCCGTAGAAACAAATGCCTAGCCTCGATCTAACATTTGAGACAAAACAACAATAATAATTTGAATTAATAATATTAAGTTACTACATGTCATGTAAAATGATATATTTAGTTAGGTAACCTGAACAGCATAGCCCCAGGAGACAGTGATGGTCCAAGAGTACCAACGGTCGTAGCAAACGGAGAGTTGAAATATACGGAGAGGATCAAGTTCCACGGCGGAGAAGAGGTGGTGGACGGCGGAGAAAGTGGTTGAGTTTGGGAAAATTGGATCTATGTGGGCCATGTGGTGTAGAGACACAAACGGTCTCGTTGAATGTGATGTCAATATTCCTAATGCATTTCCTCTCACATCAAACTGATTAAATAAAAAAGGATTAGTCTTAATCAAATATTTAGTAAATATTAGCCACTATTTAATAAAATTTTAGAAAACCTGATGAAAGCCAGGTTCATGAGACAATCCAACTCCAAGCTCAAGCAAACAAACATGAATTCTAGAGTCTCCTCCGTACAAATGTGGATACCTTTCGATACATGAATCCAAAACTTTAGCTAGAACATTAGCCAACGTGCTGCTTATAGCGATTCCTCCACCGCCAAATGCCATGTCGGGTCCGAACAATGAGTTCTGGTGATTAAGCTCTGAGGTTGCTCCTATGTAATACCATAATGTGTGGTCGTATTTGGAGAGCGTTCTTACAAGATTTTGAGGGATAAATATTGTGTCGTCGTCTCCGAATACGTACCATCTTACTTCCTCTGAGGAGGTATTAAACATCCTTACCGTTTCTAACACGCACCGCGCAATCCTAATCGCGTTTCTGTCACCGTGTTTCCAAGTGTATCTGTCGGTTTATGTTTAATAATTCAATAGGCTGATTCAATTTAGTTATACTCTATTTAGAAAGTTAAAACCAAACAATAAACAGAAATATAATTTGTTAGTTTTTCGTATATTATATCTTGTTATTAAACATAAAGTTATTGTTGCATTTTTTTATATAAAAAATCAAACCTAACAAATAGGTTTTTATATAAAAAGTCAAACCTAACAATTCTTACAAAAAAAAAAAAAAAGTCAAACCTAACAAATAGGTGTGTCAAACCTGACGCACAACTTTTAAGCACGACTTTAACTAGTAAATTCGTTTAATAATATGTTTGTTGTTATAAAAATCGCACTTTCGAGAAATTCTCAATATTAAATCTTGTGAATGCTTAGATTATACATGCAATATTACATTTCGTAGAGATTAGAATTTTTGAGTTGAATTTAAATAATAACTGGATATAATTAATTAATTAATATTTCTATGGTTTTAACAAATAGCTAGAATATTAATGAAAATACAGAAAATGAAATATAATGCAAAACAGCATATTTTAGAAGTTAAGTGTTTAAAATAAAATAGTAGCCATCACAGCATGAATCAAGGCCACCTAAATACCTGATTTTTAAATATTGATGATATTAATTAATGGTTTGCTTAGTTACCTGAACCGTGATGTATCTTCGGAAACACAGATCGGAGGAAGGAGATGAGAATCTGTGTCGTTCACCAAAGACAACAAGGGACGGTCAACAAAGACACACCCTCTCATTCTCTGAGCTTCCCACCAAAGCTTAAGATATTCTTTACGTGCAGGCCACGACTTAATGCTCGAACTGATCCCAAAGACGATGTGATCGATCTCTGTTAGGCTCTGAGGCTGATCTTGAGAAGATAAGAAGTAGGCATTAATAGTGTCTTTAGATTGAAACAACGAGAGGGAGAGTAGAAGGTAGACCAACAAAATAAAAACAGAAAGTAGTATGCAATATATCATACGGGTGGAGATAGTTGAAGAAGAAGATGAAGATTGAGTTTTCGATGTGCGTTGAAAGATACACATCTCTGAGGTCGAAAGCGAAGAAACATATGAAGAAGGATACATTTTAGCCTATTAATACCTTTATATATAAATTAAGTACGTGTTTTCCTGCACTACCATATGTAGTACTAAAATTCTTAAATTTAAAATTATATTATAAATAAAATTTGGTTAATATTTTTGATTTAGTTACTTTTATATTAATATTTTAATATAAATTTTTGAGTTAGTTAAACATAAAATTAAGATAAATTATATTTAAGAATATATATGTGCATATTTAAAATTATAATCGTAGATAGATTTTCATTTATTTTTTGAATTAAGATATATTAAATTAATTTGTATAAATTAAAATAATAATATAAAATTGTATTTATCAAAAGTAAAACTAAATTAAATTTCAAAAATTTGCAGATATCAAAAGAAAACAAATAGTATTGATTGAAATTTTTTAATTTTCTAAAAAAAAGATTGTAAAATTTTTAAAAATATTGTTTAGTAATAAAAAATGTATGAGTATAAAAATAGATCAAAATAATATTTCAAATTTTATAAAAAATAGATTTATCTTATTATATTATTTAATGTTATATTTAAATATATATTGTATTTATGATGTGTATGTGTTACTACCTTATTGAATTATTTTATAGAAATAAAATTTAACATTAAATATAATTATTCATTTTTCATTTTGTCTGAATTCATATCATATTTCTAGTATGTCATGTTACTTTTGTTTTAGTAAAATTGATTGTAATAATTATACTTATCAAAATCCTTTTAAAATATAATATCTAAAACAGATTATGAACAGATGGAAAGATCTCGAAATGAGTTATTTTTTTAAAAAATGAGTTATGGTACGAAAGTGGCCGGCCATAATAAAATAGTGGTCACGGTGGCGATAGGCGACACGAGAGTCTTAATAATGGATATAAAAATGGTTTATATAAATGTATGGAATAAATTTGGTCTAACTAGTTGTCATTTGGCACGTAAGCTAATAAGGCGTGGAGACAAGTAAGGCTTAATTGTTAGATTATTTGTTCTACTTTTACTTAATATAGGAATTCTAATTTGAGTGTGGGAGTCGTTTTGGACTCATACGTACCTTACTTGTTTTGTTTCTCTACTTAAAAAATTCTCAGTTTGAAGTAGTATACATCTTAATGAATTAGTAACTCAATATCTATCTAATCTCGATAAATCTAATGGCTTAAATTTTTGGGTCATTTTGTGAAATAACGAAGAAAAATTTATAATTAGATTTTAAGAGAGAAGGTAGAGAGAGAAAGGAAGATAAAATAGGAGAGAGTAAGATTTTAGATAGTTAGTGAATATAGATTTTTTGTATGTATATTAGACCTAATTTCTCTAAAAATTTTCATGGTGGTGGAGATATTTTTTTCTGTTAGATTAATGATGATATAATAAACTATTAGGTATTCGTTGACAAAATTAAATTATATAGATGTTCAGTAAATGTGTAAGTAGATCTCGTTCCTAAGTTTATTTGGGTGAAAAATTAAGATTACAGATCGAACTAGTTCAGCTGATTTGTGCTGTTTTAGTTTGATTTTTAAATGTTTTCTTGTTAGCTTATAAGACTATACTTTCAAATATCGAGAAAAGATGAAACATGCAAGAGCTTAGTAACGTAAATTCTGCTGCCTTCAGCATGTGCAAATGTCACAAGATCCGAACCATATGGAATATTATATATCTTCTCAGGAAATAGTTGAACTTTGTCTACTGCAAAAATGATTAAAGAACTTTAAAGAAAAATTTGGAATGACATGAATCTGTAAAAGAAGTGGTTAGTTAGTGTTTACAACACAAAGTCTCTGCAGACTCGAAAGAGAAACTTCCTCTTCTTATTAAAAAATATTTGGGTCAAAAGGAAAATGAATACATGGGCTTTTCAGCAAATAGAAGATGGATGAATTGGGCCAACAAAAAGAAGAACCAAATCCCACAGCAAACAGAGCTTAAGAGTTTTTTTTTTGTGTACTTATTGCCAGAATTTAAGGAATGGCTGATCATATGATGGAACCATCTTCTTAAAAATTCTTACAAATCCCTTTTAAAGGAATGGCTGATCATAGGTGGCGTTTCAGTTGGTGCAAATTGCTAACTATCTCTAGGTAAAAAGAAGAATCTACATAGCATTGTAACAATGGTTTTCTCTATTCGTATTTTTCTAAAATAAGGGGTTATCTTTTCGAATTTCCCTAGTTAGGTCTTAAATAAGTAATGTTTTTTATTTCCCTTTGTTTTATTCGATTGTTAATGTTTTTGCTTTACAGTAATTCTCTTGGGAACACAACAGCTGATCATTGTCTGTGTAATTAATCATATGGCTCCCAAATTCACAAGAATATTCGTTTTGATAAAACATTGATAAGCGTTGCTGTGAATGTGATCAACAAAAGCTGGAAGAGGACAAAGCATGAAGAAACAAGAAAAAGACAAAGCATGATTTACACAAACACACTCTTCACTTTCAGGCTCTCTCTTTTTTAGTTTTTAATCATTCCATTCTACATTAACTGGTCCCGTCTCTGTCTCTCGCAGATAAGTAGTTTCTTATAAAAGTTATTTATATACACAAATCGAAATCTTGGTCTTTGAAAAAGTTCTTTAAGAATCTTTGAATTTGTTGGAAAAAACATTATTAGAATTTAGTGAACACAACATGTCATCTAATTTCTCTTTAACTAAATCTTTTGTTTTTATTTAAGTTTAATCTTTTAGTTCTTGAAATGAAAAATAAACATAAAAATCTCTATTTTAAATTGTTTTCGATTACTGTTTTTTTATGTTTTATTTTAGGGGGGCAATGCTTTTGATTGTTTGTAATAAACTTGTATTTAAATGCAAGATTGATAATTATTTTATCTAGAACCCAAACTTTCTTTGCAGTCCAACGATCATTACAAGACGGCATCAAGTTCACTTTTCGGCAATTTTCATAAAATAAAAGTGGAAATCTTTTCTCTTTGTATCTCCTAAAACTTATATAATAAACATTACAATATGATTACCATGGGGACACGCTACAAAGGACTAAAAACAAAGAACATAAAACTTAATTTATCCTAATGGTGAAAATTTAATAAATGAACTTCTGTCTACTTGGCAGTTTCTGATTGAGTTAGTTGATTGCCTGCATAAAAAAAAACAAGACACAAGTTGTGTAAACAAGTGTTTACATTACATTATTTACTAAAAATGAAATAGAAAATAATTTACAACCATTGGTAAAATTCAATGGCTACCAACTGAACTATTACCTTATAATGTAGCTTGCAAAATTTCAAATCCACCAGAGTTAGCAAAAACCATCAAAACTATGAACCGGATAGACCACAGAACCGCCGGTACGTGAAAACTTGTTAACCGAGGCCAAAATTACAAAACACTTTTTACACCTACAAACTGGAAATTACACAAACCGGAAACCAATGAGTTAAAACTCAAACCGGAAACAGAAAATGTAAAAAACAAAAAAATGGCAAACCTGTTCCCTTTGAGTTAATGAACTGTCTCCATCACTCTCAAAGATCCAAAAACACTTTTGCTCACCTGACAAAAGCAGATTCAATTCTACCATTAGTGGTAAAAAACTTTCATCACATCCTCAAGAATCAAGAAGGTTTAGATTTTTAATGTCATAAAGACAAAGATTTGATAGTATGAGCTTTCAATGTTTTTTTTTGGTTCTCCTTATCCTTATCTGGATGTAAAATTAATTGGTTGATCTTAAATGATCTGAGACAAGGCAGTGGCTAATTCCTTGGTTGAGATTACACACACCTCTCCCCATAAATGCAGAGAATTATAGACTGGTCTCAACTCTATTTGCATCTCAGGACCACACACACTTGTGGACTTCTTTAGTTCTGAACAGCTCATGTCACTGACACAAGTGCCATTTTCATCTATTTATGTCCCAGTTTTGCTAGTTTGGTGAGTTGTAATTAATCTAACATGTTATGAACTATAACATTAGATGCAAAAGAAAGACAAGAAAAGTTACCGTGAAGTGTGGAGAAATGAAAAATCTTGTGTGTTTCTTCTAGAAGAAGCTGAGCTCGGTGTATCCACGGGAATAAGGTAAGAGCTCTTCAGCTTGAACCCGTGAAGCAGAGCAGCTCATTGTTCTCTTTAACTTATTATGAGCTGACTCAACCTCTGCACAGAAAATGCCATAAACTGGTCTATGATCTGAAAACCTTGATTCCCCTCTTACATAAGATAACTGATGCAATCCTTCACCGTACCACAATATTCTATCACACCTTTTTTAAAACAAAACAAACGTCAGATCATAGTAGATTCATCATATATGTACAAGAAGTTGTTTGTTTTCTTACCAAGCAGGAGTGCGACGTTTCTCCTTGGGATGCAAGTCATCTCCAGAGTATCTATCTGAGTTCCTTGAGTACTTGTAAGTTGGTGGGAAATAGATTTTTCCTTCGTTCCATCCTTTGAACACATGGCCTCGTTTCTGCTCAATCCTTAACTGCAAGTAAACATGTTTTTGGATAAGAACTTTCTCTTGAGACCATTAGGATCCAAAAGTATGTTTTTCAAAACTTACCTGGTCGTTTTCTAGCAAAGCTCTCCAGTTCTGCATCTCAACAAGTGCTTTAGCAGATCGATAAGACAGTGCTATCCGGTAGTTTAGATCGCCAAGCCATATTACACGGCTGATAAAAAAAGATATGATCAAGAGACTGGTAAAAAAACCAAGAAACTGTTTCCTGAAGTATGAGATGTTATCAATCTTACTCATGCTGAAGTATATTCTCTGGGGATTTTTCATCCGCTGAGCTCTTAACACGAGGAAACCTTGTCTTCTTAAGTATCTCCATGACATCTGAGTTTCTCTTGAGCTCATCACCTTCCTTTTGTCCTGAAGTCAAGTGTGTACAAACAAAGCAAAAGCTTGTTTGATGAAGCAACATGCTTATTGAGATCGATCCCTAAACAAGAAACAAAGACGTTATAAACAAAAGTGGCTGACAGAACAGTGTGTAATGAAAGAACAATGTCTAACCTTATTCCCAAGATAGCCCATTAGTCCTCTGCCAACACAAGACACTTTCATGTTCTTGACATGTTCCCTTAGCTCACTTTTCACCCAAATGGTTAAGAATACACCAACCATTTGTTTGCTAGCAACTAAACAATACTGAGAAGTATTCCATGGCATCCTATACCCATTTTCGTTTGCTGTAGAGCCTGGTGAGTACAAGACAGTGCTTGGAGAATCTCCAGTACCGTTATCATCATCAGAGGACCTTGAGAAGTCACTTGGCCGTGAGTAATCACTCGGTCTAGAGTAGTAATCACTTGGTCTTGAGTAATCACTAGCTCTTGAATAATCACTAGGCCTCCTGGAGTAATCACTAGGCCTTCTGGAGTAATCACTAGGCCTATGACTACTGCTGCTGCTGCTACCACGGAAACTAGGGTCAAAATCACTTGGCCTGTGGCTGAAGAAGACACGGTCACAGACGCTGAAACGGCGGTCAAGACCTGGCTGAGGGATAGAAGGATCGTTCCATGTACTACTTGGAGTCTGAAAAGAGCGTCTGTGGAAGAAGGTGGAGTTCTTTTGCCTTGTGGAGCCAGAGAAGTCAGCGTCAAGCTCTGCCATAGGCACAGGGACAGGGGAAGGTGTGTGATAACCGCTGGTTCCACTAGTCCCTGGTCGGTTGTTCAGTGTTTTACGGATAAGAGAGAGCCATTTCTGAGCAGGTCCATTGTCTTCAGCTCCAAGGACGTTACCAGCATTAAGAGGAACAATCTCTTGGAATCCGAGGACGTATATATCAGCAGGAGCTGAAGAATGAAGCCACTCATCAAGGTTTAAGTCAGAAGGAGGAGAGCGTCCAGCTACGTTCCAGGTAGCAGTAAAGATGCTGCTCAAAAGTAATCAACACCAAGATTTTTTAGTAAAAATGGATCATAGAGTCATGACATGTGTGTGTGTTGAGCTTAAATGCATATATACCTGTAGTTTTGGACATCAACGATCCGAGGATTCTCATAATTCATTTTCCTTTGCCGAGCTTGCTGCTCCCAGTTCTTACTGAGCTTCTCTGTAAAAATCAAGAAACCATCAGTAAAAAAGTTTATTTACTTTGATGAAATCATAGTGTGACTATATGTATGTTTTTACCACTTTTAGTCTTCTTGATTGTGCTGGGAGCTTTCTCTGCTGAGAAGCTACTTCTGTGCTCTACTTCAACTCCTTTAATCAATATTAGAAAACAAATGAGGTTAAGATTACCTCAGAAGAGACAAGTAAAACTGAAACATAGCTCTCAAGGAAAAAAACATGAACAAATATCCAAACATAATTGGTTAAAGAAAGAAAGAGAGAGAGAGACTTTACCAGCAGAAGGAGCAGGAGCATCTGCTTGAAACTCCTCTGTTTTGCTTTTTATATTAAACCATTTCCTGACCATCTTCATTGACCAGGCCAGCTTCATTTCACAAAATTCAAAAGAAGGATTTTTTATGAATATTCAGTCTTGAAATTCCGTTCAAGATGGGCAAAACAAAAGAGCAAAGATTTAGAGAAGACACAAAGAAAACTAGAAACCTTATTTGACTTGGTTTTGTCTTCTCTCATTGTTACTTCTTTTGCTTCTTTACTAGTATGTGTGTGTGGTTCCTTTTCTTTCCCTCCTTCAACAGAAACTCAATCCATCCATAATCAGGACAGAAACTTAAACAAGAGTAAGCTAGGGAAAACAGAATCTTGGTTTCTCCCTATGATATGAGCTTAGATACTTAGACTCTCTTTTTTATCTCAGAGGGACAAAGCAATGAACAAATAATGGGGTTTTTCTTTTTGTTCTTGAAAGAAGGTTTTTAATGGCATTAGCAAAAAAATAAAAAAGGAAGTGTGCAAAGAGAGGAAAGAGAGAGAGAGGTACTTTAAAATAAGAGAAAGTGTTGAAGAGACATCAATTCTTGAAGAAGACAGAGGCAAGACAATGAGGGCAGATTTTAGAGGGAGAAAGTTAAAGTGAAAATTCTATATAGAGAGAGAGAAAGAGAGTCAAGCTTCTTTTATTTTGCTTCTCTGAGAGAGCTTCTTATTAGTCCTCATTGAAACGGCAAAGTAAAAAGCAGCAGCGGATTTTGAACAACATAAAGTGCAGAGAGACTAGTTTATTCTTTCTTTTAACTTTTATTTCTCAATAATCATTAGGTATTATTGAATGTGTATATTGGGGTTGATTGGTTGAATTTTATCTTTCTCCTTTAATTAATTTTATTTTGTTTTAAAGCACTAAATTTTATTAATTATGTTGTAGTTTTATTTTTGAAAATTAAAACCTACAACAAATTTCTGTTAATTTTTACCAATCATGCTTTAGTTTTATTTTTAAAGCTACACCAAAAAAACTAAAGCAAATTTTTTATATATATTTTGGATGAAATCCTTACATCTTTGTTTTATATGTTGTAGAAACTGTAAATAAAAAATAAATATCTAAAATATAAAATAAATTAGATAATCATAATAAAAAATATCTATGAATATTGAAAATAGTTTTGGATGCTTTTAAAATTATTGAAATATTTTAAATAACAAATATTATTTACATATCAGATTTTAAATGACAATAAATTTGATAATTAATTAAAAAATATTAATAAAAATCATTTTAGTTGATACAAAAAGAATTATTTTATATATACATATTATATTCACATATTTTATTTGAAATATCTACATCCTACCATTTACAGATATAAAAAAATTTAACTACTGGAAAAAAAATCTACAGTAACAACTTTAGAATTACAACCAACTTCTTTACAGTTAAATTTGTACAGTTAACCAATCATCACCATTATAAGACAGACTAATTATTTACAACGTCTTTATAATTTAAAATCGCATTAATTTTCATTTTAATTGTTGTTGTTGTTTTTGGAAGTTTCACTAGTCTACTACGTTTGACCTCTAAGGCTCTAGTCTTAGAAAATGCAAAAAAAAAAAGGTCGTAGAGAACTCATTTTCAGATGTAGGGTTCAAGACTTCAAGGCATCTCGATAAATATAAAAATATTGGTTTAAGTCTCCATTCATAATTTAAAAGAAGAATATAAGCAAAATAGATGATAAAAATACTAAATGAGTTACAATTTTACTGAAAGGGTAAAACACTGTGGAATGACATAATCATTTATGTATTTGTAACTAATCTTGTAGAATCTTAGCATAAAGAATATAAGTCATGATTCTACGGAAATCTATGATTGATATAAACATGCCGAGTGATTTTGTCAACTCGAATACAAAAACTATCATCTTATCTTGTAATAATATGATAAATTGAAAAAGTCGAAATGTGTGTTTTTAATCATAATCCTTTAACTATTAAGATGTCTAAAATGCTTCGCCTAGAAAAGTATGTATCAAATACTCCCTCTGTTTCAATATAAGTGTCACTCTACAGCTATGCACACGGATTAAAGAAACAATTAATTTTACATATTTCCTATATAAAAACACAATTACCTATACACCTAACCATATTTTAACCAATAGAAAAACAAATTACATAATAAAATTAATAAATTTTACATTGAAAACCGAAAACGACACTTATTTTATAACACAAAAAATTCTCTACAATGACATTTAATATATAACGGAGGGAGTATCAGATAAAATTAATTTCTTGAAGATGAAGTTGGTTTTAAAGTAATTAACATTTGAATCTTTAAATATTAACGGAGATATTATAGTTTCTTTTTTGTTAAAGGGCTTGCAGAGATATTATAGTTCGTGTAATTAATATTTTTTCTTGATGAACCAAAAGTAATAGAGACATTAGACACTATAGAGAATTTTACAAATTTCCACAGATGTGCATGCCAGAGTTGCGTATTGATGTTGACTGATAAAGCATGAAGAAAAAGATATAAAACTATAGGATAAATTTACCCTCAAACTTATGCCGCGCGGATATTATTAAATGTTTAAAAAAAAAGCAAAGCTACATGAAGCCACCACGACCACCTAACCAAAATGAAATAGGTTTGTTTTAAACATATCTCTGATACTCTTTTTAATTATATTAAGGACCGATAATAAAACTTATCCTACCATTAATTGAAAAATAGAAAATCTAGGCTATTAATTATACATGTCTAAATAATACATACTCATATTTACAACACTATTAAGTACATAAATATAGTAGTTATACAGTTATACCAAGACATGACATTGTTTTTAAGTAAAGTATCACATTTTCTCTCCAAGATTTTGGTATATCAAGAAAGTAGAAAAGCAAAACAAATGATACTATTAAAGACTGAAAAGAGAGAGGTAGAGGGGGGGAAAGAAAAAGAGATAAAGATAGCTATGTGTCTTGGTCTATTGTTATGGTTGCCATATCATCTTTGATTTCAATATGTTTAATAATTTTTATAGTTTGTTTTTATTTTTTGGAAATTTATTATTACTGGAATTTATAGTTTCTGAATTTCCTTAAATTGGACAGTTCTTTTATTTTAGATTTATTCTTTTTTTTTGTAGCAAAAATGTTGGACACAAGCTACTGTATTGAAGTCCACTCAGCGACTGATATCAGGGCTTCTCCTTTTTTCTGTATTTTTTCTCGAGACTCACATTTTCTTACATGAACAACGAATATATAAACTAAAGAAATCTTACCAATCCGTATATAAAAATATATTGGTACCCACTTTATTTTATTAAAATACTAAGTCAGTAGACAATAGACTTAACTATAAAAATTAAAATACAACTCTTAGAATATCCAAAGTCTTAGTATCTGGCAAATGACTTTAGATAAATCGTTAAAAACATTACAAGTTCGTCAAAAGATCATGGCGAGAACATTCGCACAGTACACAGTGAATGTATCTAGAGATATTAACTATGTTGGGATGATATGATCCAATCTTGAAATCCCACAAACTTTGTTGAATATTATATGTAAAGTTATATACCTAACTTAACTATATATACAGAATACAGAAAATAATTAAGAATTTGATAATGGCTAGACGGCGGAGAATTCCATGCTGGGGCAGCCAAATGTCCCATGCATATGATTAAAACTATCCGCTTAAATTAATAGATTAACGATAATGTGTATTTTAAATTAATTCAAATAAAAGCAGCATAAGTTTTTATCAAATAAAATGGTCCACAATAGTATAAACTAGTATAATATACGGAATTTAGCTCCACCATACATTAAACACTCATGAATATGCTAATCATGATTAGCATATACACCATCAGTTCGTTTCGCTAGATTGTTTTGCCCCATCAAAGATGCTTCCATATTTGTTTACAGACAATGGGAAACGCAATATCAAACATATAAACGTTAATAATTACAGCTATGTATTTGAGTAGACGTACATGGCAGATATAACTTAAAAATTATATTCAAGATATGATTTTAACCATTTTGACCTCGTTTGAGTATTCTAAGACACGTTTTGAAACACAAAATGATCTATGTTATCCACTCAATGTTTATGGATTCTTAATGAATCAATACATGCTAAATATATTGGACAAGCACAATCATTTGCGTCTAGATGGGCAAAGAAGAGACTAGTAAACAGAGGAAGCAACCATATACTGATATACAGATATACTTTTATTTGTGTTTTCATTTATCTGAGATTATATGTGCAAATAGACGCATTTTTTCTTTTTAAGAAAGTTTATCACAGAACTTCTCTTTATATACATCTTTCTGAAACCTATCTATTATATGAGTGGACTTTGATTTTATTGGTATCTAATCAGCAGGAATATTATCATTAATTTGTCCCACACGAACTCGTAGAAGACGTACACTTTCGCACTAACGGACACAAGGCAATGCATTTCTCCAATTTTATCATTTCCCCAGTTTAAATGTAAACAGTTTCACATTCACACACCACACGTATACATATACACATATATTTATATATATTAAAGTTTATTATCAGGTGAAATGTTCCGAAAGAATAAATAATCGAGGGCATGCAAGTATGCATGCATGCAACACATGATAATATTGTATACAAAAAACACATGACAATATTTTTTTTGCATTTCATGTCAAGAAAATTTCAACACCCATAGGTTCGGAATTCAAACTATCGCAAATCGTTGTGTTATCGCTTACCAGTAAATCGAATCATGGACAGTATGAAATTTCTTTCAACTTTTTATATTCTACGTGCCAGTTTCTTAAAATGGGCGAAAGAACTAGGGACATGACCAAGTGGTGTATTAATGATGGGCACTTAAAATGAAGTATATTTGCCCTATCCAAAATAAAAGGCATACTCCCTAACTTGTACTCCCTCCGTTTCGAATTAATTGTCATTCTGGAGGAAAAATTTCGTTTCAAAATAAGTGCGTTTTAGAATTTCGAGACTAAATTTATTAGTTTTATATGATTTTATATTTTTCTATTGGTTGAAAAGTGGTTAGGTGTATAGGTAATTGTGTTTTTTTCTTGAAAATATGTAAAATTAAATGTTTCCTTAATCTGTGTGCAAAAATGTAGAATGACAATTAAAATGAAACGGAGGGAGTACAATATTTCTTACACTGTTAAACACAATCTCTATTTAACCTTTTCGTTTCGTTTTACTTATAAAACCATGTTTCCCTTTGTTTTTTATTGAATGGAATCAAATGATTTTCTAAAAAAAAATTCCATGTACCAATATTAGATAATTTTAAGTGGAAATCCTAATCTTCTCTAAATAGAAAACATCCTAGAGACAAACCGATATGGACGATTTTTCTTCTAGGTATTATTATTTAGTATATATCATGTGTCATAATGCTCTTTAGATTTTTTGAAAAAAAAACTAAAGTTTCCCATAATATTTATTTACTTTAATCCATAGTTTGATGGTATAAAATCATTATGTCAAAGACACACTATATAAACTCATAGTTAATGATAGTCACGAAAGGACATCCGTTGAAAAACGGAGTGCTAGGCTTTTGATCCATACTCAATGGTTAGCTAAACGAAGGGGACAAAAGTAGATTGCATATGGTTTCACATAGTAATTACATCTTATCACTAAAGCCTTACTTTCATTAAAATTAAAACACAAGGAAGATTTTGCTTTTACTTTCTCTTTTAAGTACAAATCCCATTTCTTAAATTTGCAGTATTTACGAGGCAGTCAGAGCAAAGATTCACCTCTAGAAAACAATGTTACATATATATACTTAAGAATTAAAATAGTATATGCATCTGTTTTTTCTTTTGCTTTTGTGGTGGGGAGGTCCACATTTTATTTATGTTTGCTTATAGTTATAGGCTATGTAATGCCCGTTTGTATTTAGACTCGGGTCACATAGCATATTCAGGAAAAAATCAATAAAGCTTAGAAGTTCAGATGGATATATAAATTACTTAGGATGGTAAGTGTGTTCCTCGTATATTTTCAATTAGAGTCCCTTGATCTATATAATTATAAAGGTAACCTAAGTTTCTAAAACAAGCAAAGCTCAAATATGCAACTTTGTTGAAAGGTGATAAAATTGTTGCAAGCATCGATGTTGATAAGGTTATTTTGTAGTCTCGATGTTGATTTTGGTCGGTAATAAAGAGTAAAGAGTGTTAATTTTTTAATGTAAACACCATTTTTTCTTCTACAAACCGGTTCAATTACCGGTCCAATTCACTCTGGGTCGGTTTCGAGATCGGAGCATTAGCAAATGCGGCTTTGATCAAGCCCAAAAAAATAGTGAGCGATATGTCTACTACTATTGGGCTTTTTTTGGGTTAGCACAAGCTTCACTTGAATCACTTCCAACATTATGTTGTAACTAATTAACTGAGGTTAATTTTTAAGACTTTAACTAATCCGCAAATTTTAATTAACTGAAAAGTAAAACCTTTTATCTTTTAGTAAATTTTTTTAAAAAATAATTACACTATCACTTTCGTCGGTTGAGCTCGCGGAATCTGAACTAAAAACAGTACGGACACTTCAATTTTGGCGGCGAGGAAGAGGCAAAATGGGATTCATAGTCGGACTTGTGATCGGACTCGCCGTGGGAATCACCATCATCATCGGCTTCGTCAAAGCCGAGAATTATCGATCCAAGCTTCGCTCTGAACTCGTGAGCTCCTCTTCTTCACCTTTTTTGAAACGATTCGGTTTTCCAGATTCGTTCAGCTGCATTTGACTCTTTTTCTTCTTTGTCTCAGGCGAATACGGTGGCTGCATTCGCGAGGATGACGGTGGAGGATTCAAGGAAGCTTCGTTTTATCCTTCCTGGCTCGTCTTCTCCCAGCGTCAGAAGTTAAGTTTCCCCAATTTTCCTTCTCTTATCCGGTTTACTGGTTTAGATGGTTTAGTTTGATGTTTGTAAATAATTGTTCATTAATTAATCAACAGAAGATAATTTGATAACAAACTTTATTCATTTCATCTCCAAAGCTTGATCATCGTAATAGTATCCATGTGATTCGAATTAGAGTATAAGATTGAGTGGTTTAACATTTGATTAGTTGGTTAACTCATTCCGGTTAAACCACATTTTGTAAACCAACGCGAGCTGTAACAGATTCATAATGATTAACGAATATTTTCGGTTACAACTAACTCTCTCTCATCACTCTCTGCTATCACTTCGCTAAC